GCTGCGTGCGTGCGTGCGTGCGCTGCGTGCGTGCGTGCGTGCGTTCGTGCGTGCGTGCGTGCGTGCGTGCCTGCGCTGCGCTGCGCTGCGCTGCGCTGCGCTGCGTGCGTGCGTGCGTGCGTGGGTGGGTGGGTGGGTGGGTGGGTGGGTGCGTGGGTGCGTGGGTGGGTGTGTGTGTGTGTGTGTGTGTGTGTGTGTGTGTTTGTGTGTGTGTGTGTTTGGTGTGTGTGTGTCTGTGGTGTGTGTGTCCCTAGTGTGTGTGTGTTGTCTGTGTGGTGGGGTGTGTGTCTGTGTGTGTCTGTGTGTGTTGTCTGTGTGTGTGTCTGTGTGTGTGTCTGTGTGTGTGTCTGTGTGTGTCTGTGTGTGTCTGTGTGTGTCTGTGTGTGTCTGTGTGTGTCTGTGTGTGTCTGTGTGTGTCTGTGTGTGTGTCTGTGTGTGTCTGTGTGTGTCTGTGTGTGTGTCTGTGTGTGTGTCTGTGTGTGTGTCTGTGTGTGTGTGTCTGTGTGTGTGTGTCTGTGTGTGTCTGTGTGTGTCTGTGTGTGTCTGTGTGTGTCTGTGTGTGTCTGTGTGTGTCTGTGTGTGTCTGTGTGTGTGTGCGTCTGTGTGTGTGCCTGAGCTTGTGTGTGTGTATGCCTACGTGTGTCCAAAGGTGTGTGTGAGTGTGTGTGTGTGTGCGTTTGTGTGTGTATGCGTTTGTGCGGGTGTGGGTTTGTGGGTGCGGGCGCGTGTGTGCACAGGCGGGCAAAGGGTCATGCGCGAGCGCGTGGGCGCGCGGCTCGCGAATGTATGCGTCCGCACATGCATATGGCCGCGGAGCTGGTGTCAAGGCACGGCGCGGTGGTGTGGAAGCCGGGGGAGGAGAGTGGTTTGGCGGGTAGAGGCATACTTTAGCGCAGCATACGCGCAAAACACCCAATCTACGCGGCACTCTTAAGAACTTTGGCGGGGGGTCTCGGGGGGCAGCGCTTCCTGCTGCAAGACCTGGATGGCCCGTGAGACCTCCGTGTAGTTCAACAGCGGCCTCACGCGCGCGCAGGACATGATGGGCTTCCTAGCGGCTTTGACCCCTCATTGCGCCATCCCCGTTCCATTCCTGCACCACCTCTGCCGCGCTAAGTTTGTGGAGTTTCATACATCGAAGAAAAGAAGTTTTCCCTCTCGTATGCCCACCTAGCCTTAGCACATGGACGCGGGTGGCCCAAAAAAAGGTAGGGGCCGCCTGAAATAAAGACAAGCGCCCGCCCCCCTGCTCTGCTCGCAACCATGGAAGGAAACGAAGGAGAGAAGAGGAGATGCAACCAAGCCAACACCTGGTCCTTGGATCTTTGGCATCTTGTAAGAATCAAGGTCATGTTTGTTCACATGTCTGTGTTTTACTACTGCCCGCAATCAAACTCGTGAAGGGGGTAGTACTTTAGACCCCCCAAGTTTGAGCCCAGGACTTATTCCAGCACTGCAATAAAGAATGAATGAATTCTTGCGCCTGGCCCTTTGAATTATACAGCTTGCCCCGTGGAACTGCGTCAAGGCTATAGAAATCACAAGGCAGCCCAGGTGACGCTGGTGAAGCTGCAGGCGTTGTTGTTCGTTGTCTTGGGCCTGCTTTCCCAAAATCCAAAACGTCAAGCTTCCCAAAACTCATGCTTTCGTACATGCCTCTTGTCTAAAAACTGACCACAATCAAACGCACATCCGAAATTGAGTTCGGGGGGGCTGCAAAAACTTAGGAAAACACGAAACGTAAGACACGGCAAGGTCTGCGGCAAGCTACCCAACAAACATGCAGCAGGCCAGGCAAAATCTGCATCGAGCCATCTGTGTCAAGCAATCCAGACAACATTCGCGGCAAGCAATCCAGACAAAATCTGTAGCAGGCTAGGCAAAATGTGCAATCAAGCAATCTGTGCCAAGCAATCCAGGCAACATCTGTCTGGCAGCAATCCAGGCAACATCCACGCCAGGCAGCCCAGGCTGCTGCAAGCAATCCAGGCAGGAGCGCTAGCAAGCAACCCGGGCAACAGCAGTCCAAGCAAAATCTGCAGCAAGCAAACCAGGCAACATCTGCGGCTTGCAACCCAGGCAAAGTCGGTGGCAAGCAATCCAGGCAAAATCTGTGGTGAGCAATCCACGCAAAATCTGCGGCGAGCAATGTGCGGCAAATCCGTGGCAAGCAATGCAAGCAAAATCTGTGACACGCGCCGAGCAAACTAGGCAAAAACCCCGGCAAGCACGACGCAAACAATCCAGGCAAAATCTGCGGCGTCGGCGAGAAACCCAGTGGCAAGCAATCCAGGCAATACCCACACATGGAGACATCCACGACAGGAAGCCCAGGCAAAATCTGCGGCAAGCACTGCAGGCAACATCTGCAGCAGGCAAACAAGACAACATCTGCGGGAAGCAATCCAAGAAAAATCTGAAACAAGCAACGCCAGCAAAATATGCGGCAAACAAAGTCTGCGGCAAGCAATCCAAACAAAACCCGCGACAAGCAATTCAGGCAAAATCTGCGGCAAGCAACCCAGGCAACATCTGTGGCAGAGTCAATCCAGGCAAAAACTGAGGCAAGCAATCCGGCAAAAGGCTGTGGCGAGCAATCCAGGCGAACCTGCGGTGCGCAATCCAGGCAAAACCTATGGCAAGCAATTCAAGAAAAAAAGCATCTGAGTCAAGCAACCCAGGCAAAATCTGCGGCAGCGGCGAGGAAACCATGCAAAATCTGCGGGGAAGAAACCCTGACAAAATCTGCGGCAACAATCTGCGGCAAAACGGGGCGGGGAGTTTTAATTGGTTTGTGATTGGCCGACCCCCAGATCCCCTCAGTCTAGCCTTTCTAACGCAAGCCTGCTCCCCCAACACGTTCAGGTTCAGCACATGTCTCTAGTTTAAAAACTGCTTACAACGAGGGTAGATGGTAGCACTTCAGGCGCCCAATTTGACTTTATTTCAGGGACCTCTGCAGGGGGATCTTCTCGGCTTTCTGCGCACTTGACCTTCATGCAATCATGTCTCACACGAAGGTTTGGACTCAAGGACCTTCGTGTCACGAGCTTAGAGCGAGGAGACAAAAGGCGCCACGGTTGTTGTTGTTTACAGGGTGCTCAACAGGAAATCATCAAACCAGGACACATCCTGAACTTCCTCTACGTCCACCTCCTGATTCTTCAAAAGTTGCCGCCACTGAGTCTCAGAGGCAGCGGCTCACCCATGCCCATGAAAACCACGCGCTGCCTTGGGTGTGCTACGGACATTCAACGTCGCGGGCGCTTCATGGCTTGAACACACCATCAAATCGAATTCTGCTGCTGGCCATTCCCCAAAACTCACAAGTTCGACACCCCGCAATTGCAGAAGAACACAAAGCTGAACAGTCTCCCTAGATACAAAAAGTCCCTACCACCCAGTTTCCAACGGAAGTCTTCTGGAACTGGCACGATGGGCTAGCAAGCACTTGGCGAAGGATTGTGATGCGTCACCATCGCGCGGGGAATCACAGACGCAGGAAATGGGGCGTGACCATGAACCCAACCAAATGTCCTTCAAAGAGGTCAGACGGCCACCCTTGTTAAGGCTCTGACACTGGGTACAAGCGCCTCGCAGCAGCCACTTGCGCTGCAATGGCCCATCCAGGAAGGTTGGCGGCTGGCTTGACCTCGTTTCAGCGTGCGGCCACTTGAGACAAGAGAAGCGACACAGTGCGGCACAACCCTGTTCAGAAGGGCGGCAGTCAGACACCTGCAGAGCATCGAACGTGGCTCAGGCTCATGCGCGGCCGGTATCACAGAATGCGCAATCGAGAGGACAGCCTGCTTGAGAAGAGACCTGAAGAGCTTGTTCGGGGCTCAGACGGATTCATGCCAAGGAAACACACAACGCGCATCTACTGCTACTCCCCTGGCGTGCTCACCTGTCGCAGTTTAGCATTGTTCATTGGGATTGCTCACAAGTTTTGAAAGGTCAGGAGATAAGTGTATGCTACCTGCATCGTGCCAGTATAAGTCATGTTTGCTGTGTGGTGAAAAAGGTGAGCACGCCTTCAAGGGGATGCTTTGCCCGGAGGGATCGCACACGGCTGCACGTAATTTGTTAGATTTGTTGAACATTGCCGCTTGCACAGCCCAAAGTTGAAAAGCGGGTCAATATGCAATATGGTCAAGCCTCTGCTTGTCAAGCAGAGGCAGAGAAGGAACTCCACAATGGCAGCACACTCAACAGTACAATATGACTTTGTGACGTTGCTTTCGTGGCGGTATCACCGCCTGCATGCCTTGCGAGAAGCTGAGATGCGTGCGCAAACTGCAGCTCCCCTCTTAGCCTCCAAATCCTTGCATCCGATACACGGGCACAATTGGTCAGCAACTGAGCAACACAGTCGTGTTCAAGGTGTTGTCGTCGGAATGCAGCCTTTTCCAAGGCAAAGTTGACACGGAGACGGCACCCTGCTCTCCACTGCAGCTGAACCCCTGCCACATGGCCCGCATCTGCACATGCTGGACGCTATCTTCAAAAGGTCAAACAAGACATATGATATTACAGTATTGTTGCGGGAACTGGTGAAATAAATTCAAGCCACCCACAGCCCAACAACCGCACTGAGCAGCTTGTTGTTTTTCGGGCGACACTGGCACATTGCGACAAAGCAAGCACCAACTCTCCGGCGCCGACACAGAGCACCGCTAGCCTTGCGTTACACACAAAGTGCACAAGCTGCCGGGGACAAAGGCAGCCGAGCTACTACGCTTTGCCATCACACTATACCATCTTGCTGCCAGCGCTCACTGCAAACCGAACACTGGGCCAGAATACATTTGCCTGGCCAGCAGTTTGCGCGGCCCAAAGCTCTAACATGTCTCATGTAGTGTCTGTTTGCGTGCTTGTCTGGCTCTGTCTCTCTGTTTCTCTGTTTCTCTCTCTCTCTCTCTCTGTCTCTCTCTCTCTCTCTCTGTCTGCCTGCCCGTCCGTCCGTCCGTCTCCGTCCGTCTCTGTTTGTCTCTGTCTGTCTGTCTCTCTGTCTGTCTCTCTGTCTGTCTCTCTGTCTGTCTGTCTTTCTGTCTTTCTGTCGTCCCTGTCTCTGTCCCTGTTTCTGTCCCTGTCTCTGTCCCTGTCTCTGTCTCTGCCTCTGTCTGTCTCCTTGTCTTTTTCTGTCAGTCTGTCCGTGTCCGTGTCTCTCTGTCTCTCTGTCTGTCTGCCTGTCTCTCTCTCTCTCTCTCCCTCTCTCTCTCTCTCTCTCTCTCTCTCTCTGTCAGTCTCTGTCTGTCTCCGCCTGTCTCTGTCTGTCTGGCTGTCTGTCTTGCCTGCCTGCCTGCCTGCCTGGTTGGCTGGCTGGCTAGCTGGCGGCGGTCTGTCTCTCTCTCTCTCTCTATCTCTGTCATGCGGCGCATTGTAGGAACCGTAACATGTGATGGGCTCATACAGACTTAGTCTTGGTAGGGCGCAGTTTGGAGGTTAGGAAGCACCAGGTGGGTCTCCCTCTCTCTCGCTCTCTCTCTCTCTCTCTCTCGCCATCTTCTCATTGGCAAGCGTGACCATTCCCAACTCCGCGACTGGGACTGAAGATGATGCATTTGAAGGTTGCAGCTCATTGGCAAGCGTGACCATGCCTGACAGCATGACTGAGATTGGACATTTTGTCTTCAAAGGCTGCAGCTCATTGGCAAGCGTGACCATGCCCAACTCCGTGACTGGCATTGGAGATGGGGCCCTGAAACTCGTGCTTACAATGCGCAATCAAGCCCAACATACCACACGTCACACGCAAGCCAAAAAATCAGAAGGACGCGAAGAGATCTTCGCGTATGACTCGCACACAAAAATGATTAAGCTGCATCAGCTGCATCTGCTAAGTCCTGCCTGTGTCTCTGCGCATGTGCCCCATGTTGCCTGAGCCAGAAATGGGTGAGGGATGCAAAAACAACTTAGTAGGCATCAAAACAAACTTATTCCTGAATAGCAAACAACAACTTACTACCAGGGATTTAAAGCAACTCGGTTGTACAATTTTACCATTAGGGATCAAACAAATTGATGGGAAAAGCTTGTGTACGGGATCATGTTGAAGAATTAACTTGCTACGGGAGCAAACGTTAGATGGACTGCCGAAACGATATCAGAAATGGCGCAGGCTCCACAAGGCAGCGTATTTTCGATGTTGGTTTACGAGGGGGCATCTTTCCATACGAAACATGCCTAAGGGTTCTGAAGGATTACAGTATTGGTCCAAATAAGTTTCTCAAACAGCGTGGGTTCTTACAGTAAGGGTACGTCCAACTCCAAACCCACCTTACATCGACCCTAAGCCCATCGTAAACCCACACCAAAGCCGCCCAAACCCACCTCAACCCCACCCTACTAAGCCCACCCTAAGCCAATCAACCCTAAACCAACTTGCAGAACACCCACCTGCAACAAAATCTAAACAAAGTAGCCCCAACCATGCCCCACAAAATTGTTTCAGATGCATAACACGGTGTTGTTTGATTGCGCAGTTTCCACGCTTTCTAGTGTGTTTTGCAGCAAACTGGCGCACGGTAAGTTATTGCTCGATGCCTAATTAAGTTTCTCTTTACTTTCAGAAATAAGCTTTTTGGCACCCCCCCGAGTGGAGCAAGCACAAACAACGGTATCAGCCAGGTAAGAACTATATATATATATATACATATAGTGCGCAGCTGAAAAGCGGCGGGGGGTTGAAGAGGGGCAGCAGCCCCCCCCCCCAAGTGCCAAACAACCGCATCAGGCCTTCCTTCCTGCTTCCTTTCTTCCTTTCTTCCTTCCTTCCTTTGATTCCTTTCCTTCCTTTCCTCCCTCCCTACCTTCTTCCTTCCTTCCTTCCTTCCTTCCTTCCTTCCTTCCTTCCTTCCTTCCTTCCTTCCTTCCTTCCCTCTTCCTTCCTTCCCTCCCTCCTTCCTTCAATCGTTCCTTTTCCCCATGGGAATGAGAAGAAGTTGTTCTTTCCCTAATAAGTACTTTGTTGATCCCTAATAAGGTTTTGTTGATGCCTATCCCGCCAGAAAGTGGGCTGGGAGAAAGAGATCAATGGCCATGCTTGCATGACGACTGCATGACGAAATAGTCACAAATAAGCACCTTCCTTGCCCTCCCTTGGAGTCCTTGCCCACCCTCAGCTGCCTTCCTGCTAAACACAGACCTTCGCATACCTTTAAAAATACAAGTACTCATCTTGTTGAATCATGAGCCTGGCAGTCTCAGCTTGCCCACCTCCCGCCCGCGGTAGCGCCCAGGAATCCCGTAGCACCGCGTAAGAGCACCCTGAGTGCTTGCACCTGCAAAGTCAATTTTGGTGGGCGACAAGCTGCGGTCAAACAAGAATGCGGCAAGCCCGAGTCATGGCTAGCAGCAGGCAATTGTGTTGGAAGCATACAACTTGCGTTCTCTTCCGCCGCCTAGAGATGATGAGCTCTGAGAGGAAAATAGCGAAGGATTTTGCTGCTGGCATCGAGCGTTCTGATGCTTGCTGCTGTCCTGATACTTTGCGCATAAACACAGCCTATGGTGGCAGAGCCTTGTGGGAGCGGACCTTGAGGCCAAGCACCCCTGCAGGTAAAAGTTTCGGATGTTTCATGGATATCGTGACGCGCATGCTTACTCCGGCGCTCTGAGTCTTCCCTATGCATTGGGCGAACTGGCACAATACCTCAAGACAATCCCAGCGTAACAGCACGACGCAAACCTGCGACTCCAACCTTGCAAAAACAGGCCCTCCCTTTGACTCCCCAGGCGCAACGGCCCTGGCCTTGGGCATGTGAGGTGTGGGTCAAAGAGGTCCAGCGCGTGGTCCTGGCGAAGGCTGCCGGGCATACCACCCCACCCCCCGAAGCGCATGCAATCCGTCCATGCGGGGTTCAATGGAGAATGGACATACGCTGCGCACTTTTTCCACTGCTGCGTCTCAGCTTGTCCCATGTGTTTTGGCCCAAAAGGACTCATCCCCACAAAGCGAAGCCAGGCTGCTAGAGCTTTCGGCGCCCACAAATTGTGGATTCTTAATAGGTCGACTGGCATCTTACACTACCTGGGAGAACCGACCGGCCTGGCCCGGACAGCGCTGAACAACCGACACTGTAAACAAGCGAGCTATAGTAGAACTAATACACCTCCGACGCCTTCAGCCTCGGCCCGGCCTCCACATAATTGTTTGCAGGCACCGTGTCAAACATCGCAGATAGGGGGTAAATGGCAAGGACTTGGTGGCTGGCTAGCTCGGCAAAAGACGTATACTAAAATCCACTTAAGCTCACCCTCAAACCACCTGAAACCACCTGAACCTGCCCCACCCTGAAACTCACTCCAAACCTTGAACCAACTCAAACCCACCCTAAATCCACCGTACATCCACCCTAAACCAGCCGCAAACCCATCCTCAATTCATTCACAAACCCACGCTAAACCCACCGAAATTCGCTTTTTAAGACACACCCCAAAAACCCAACTTAAAAGACCAAATTGAACACACAGTGAAGCCCGCCCGAAAGCAACCCTCGATTCACCTAGACCCACCAAAACCCAAGTTAAACCCACCCTAAATCAACCCTGGAAACAAATGTAAAGAGATGCGGGTCAACAAATCCTGAAATAACGGTGGCCCTGAATCAAATGCAACCATGGTTGCCAAACACATATCCTAGCACACTTGCTCCACAAAAGATGCCCCCAGCATGTTAAAACCAACCAACCAACTGTGTAGCACACATTGGCATGGGTGCAGCAGTTTGTTGGAGGTGGGAGCGGGCACACTGCGTTATGTTCAAAACCATGCCATCAACAACGAGCATTCAGCTTATCACAGCGTCTGACTTTGCAATGCACTGAGGGTTAGGGGAATTGTCCGTGTCAAGCTGTATCGTGAATTAAATAGACACTTTCAATGAAATAACTGAGTGGCGATATCTCCTTAGCTGACCCGAGAACTTGCCTTTTTTGCCAGTAACTTGCCGTCTGGTGCCGCCAGTCCTTGACATCACAAGCTGTCGGGAAAGCTAGAGTTGTCAGCTGCAGTAGCTTTTCGTGTTGGATCATTCCTGGGGTTCATTTGCGCCCTTAGCTTCCCTCGACTGTCACAGCAAAGTTGCTAGGCACCAACGCGATTTGGAGATAATTGGCGGACGGACGACCCTGAATTTCGAGCTTCTCTCAGAACCTATGTGGCTGATGGAGCCCATGTTGCTGAGAACGCTTCCGTGTAGTGCCATCCTAGGGTTCAGGTACAATACTGACCCACTTGTGTGACCACAATCCTTCAAGTGTCCGTGAAGTTCCAACCGGAGTCTGATTCTGACATCTGGCTTCGGGTGTCATTACCCGGCA